GCGGCGGCGCACGAGGTGGCGGCGGCCGCCGCCACCGCCTCCGCTGCCACGGCCGAGGCCGTCGAGGAGGCGGCCGCCACTGCCGCCGCCGCAGGCGAGGAGGAGCGCGCGCGGCTCGAGATCGCCCTCGAGGAGGTGGGCCCTCGCGGCCGGGCCGGAAGCGGGCCCGGTAGCCGCCGGGGGCGTTGCGCCCCTCACGCTTGCGCCTTCCGCGCGTAGGCAAAGGGCGAGCTCGCCGCGGCGGTCGAGCAGCTGGCGGCGGACCGGGATGCGGCGGCCGCCGATCGCGCGGCGGCGGTGCGCGGTGCGGAGGAGGCGCACGCGGCGCGCGCGGCGGCGTACGAGGCGCGGATGCAGGAGCTCGAGCGGAGGCTAGCCGAGTCGCAGGCGGGGCGGGGCGGCGCCGTCGCGGAGAGTGGCGGCCGTGTCTCAACCTCCGTGCGATGGTCCCTAGGCCAAGCTGACGCCGATGCGAGACAAGCTGCTCGAGCTGAAGAGGCAGTCCGTCGCGATGCTGGACGAGCGCGAGGCGGAGCTCAGCCGGTTGCGCGCGTCGGTGGCCGTCGAGGGGGACAAGGCGCCCGCGGCGGAGGCGGTGGCAGCGAACGGCGGCGGGGGCCGCGGCAGTACAGCCTCAGAGGTCGCAGCGCTGCGCCGGCAACTCCGCGAGGCGCGCAGCGGGGCGAGGGAGGCGCGCGAGGCGCTGCGCGTGTGGCGGGAGACGGACGCTGGCGGCCTTGAGCACCTCAAGCAGGTGGTATGCAAATACATTTCGATGGACGAGACCGAGTCGGAGGCGGTGTTCCAGGTGATCGCCGCGCTCCTCGGCCTCTCACCCCAGGAGCACAATGAGCTGCAGAAAGCGCGGGCCCGCAAGATGTCCAAGGGCTCGTTCCTCTTTTGATATATAGCATATAGTGAGCGGCGCGCCAGTTCGGTTCTTGGCATAGGGCCTTCTTCGGACTCGGCTCTCACTGTCTCTCAGCACATGAATCACATGAAAATATCTAAGATCCTATTCATCCTGCGCCGCAAAAAAATTGATGTGTGACATGTGTGCGCCAGTGAGCAGTGTGCGGGCTGCGGCGGGGGCCGCCCTTTTAAGAAAACAGAGATACTGCGCACACGCGCGGCGGAGACTTCTCTCCCGGCGCGACTCCCATGCGCAGCTTAAAGAGTCAACTGCGTCGGCCGCGTTCCGAACGCAGGGGAAGCGCTCGGTGTGTCGGGCGTGCCCCTGCCTGATGGTGACGCCGTGACGGGCGCACTTGCCACGGCAGCGGCCATCGCCTCCGCCGCGCTGCCATTGCTGCTGTCGGCAGCGAGGCGGAAGTCTAGCGATGTCCTACGCGGCGTCGCCCCGTCGCGGATCTCCGCGTCGAGGACCTCGTTAGGCCGCAAGTCGCTCGCGCTCGCCACGAGCAGCCCCCCCGCGGCGCGGAGGGCGACCGCCGCCTGCGCCGGCGCGGTGAAGCCGAGCCGGCGGAGCCGGTCCGTCACGCAAGAGAGCAGGTCGTCCCACTCGGTCTCGGGGCACACCGAGAGGCGGATGCACTGGCCGTGCGAGCCGTCGCAGCGCACGCACACGTCGAAGAGACGCGCCGAAGCGGCTCCGGCATCGGCGACGTCGGGGCGCGGCGCGGCGCCCGGGGCGCGGCGCGCGCCGCCGAGGCGCGAGGGCGGCGAGAAGAAGGAGAAGCGGCGCATCGTCTTGAGCGCCTCGCGGGAGAGCACCTCGATGGAGCCGCGGCTCTCCAGCCCTGGAGGCTCGCTCTGCCGCACCGCAGCCTCCGCGCACACCTGGCTCGCCTGTCTCGCCGCCGCCGCCGCCGCCGCTGCCGCCGCCGCGTCCGCGGCGTCCTTTGCCGCCGCCGTCCTGGTCGGGGCCCTGGTCGGGACTGGCGACACCGCGCCTGAGCCGCGCCGCTCGATGCGGGGGCTGCCGCCCCGAGAGCCCGAGAGGCGCGCTCGAACGGGTACGGCGCTCGCGGCGGCCGCCGCGGCGCACTCTGCATCGTCGTCGCTGTCGCTGTCGCTGCCTCCGGCCGGCCGCGAGGCCTCCCCGAGCTCCGCCTGCTGTATGATGTGGCCGGTGTACTCGTACATGCGCTTCGCGCCGCAGACGAGCAGCGGCCCGAAGAGGAGGCCCTGCAGGCCAAACATGTACACGCCGAGCACGAGCGAGAAGCCGTTGACGTACTGCGAGACGCCGGCCTGGAGAGGGGAGGGCGGGTGCGCGGGAGGGCGGGTGCGCGGGAGGGCGGGTGCGCGGGAGGGGCGACGGAGCGGGCGGCCGTGCGAGGCGTCGGCCTGCTGCTGCAGCCGCCGCTCGGCGTAGAGGTCCGAGATGGTGAAGAAGAGCGCCTGCTCGCCGGCGTGCGGTTGAGAGGGGGGGGGGGGGGGCCCAGCGACCCGGGCGGGCAAAGAGAGGCGCCCCATCCAGAGGAGGAGGAGGAGGCCCTCCGCATGCCTGCC